AAGTATTTGTCCACATGTTAGACACAACATCGTCTTCGATGAAGCAGAGATGCTGAATGACGTGCCTACACATTTGTTGTGGGTATAAATGGACAACATTTAAAAACACATCCTTACGGCCAGCCTTTGACCCTTCTCTTACTTAAGAGACATTCTTCATTGCTGGTGTTAACTCTATTCCTCTTCTCAGCTGCAACATACAGCTTTAAAACATGTCCAAACAAAACCTCCACTGTCCTTCTCTCCATCACCAGTTCTCTACCTCTACCAGTTATCATCTTTCCTTTCACAGTTCTTAGCTATTCCCTCAATGTCTCCTAACACTGCTACCTCTTCATGTTCTTTCACCAACGCTGGCCCCATTTTCATCAATGCCCAGTTGGTCAAAACCAATTCAAAATGGAGGTAATGCAATTGATCTTTGTGTTTGTTTTGCCACAGGTTTTAGGCCCCTACTGTTGCAGAACAGAAAGGATAAACAATGTACCACTTTGGCATTCTAACCATTGAATGACACTGCTTTTCATACAGTTGAAGTAAACAAGTAAAAAAATTATTTGTAAAAAAAAAAAAAGAAAAAAAAAAGAGAAAACATTCAGCCATGGTCTCCACTAGACCATGTTCAGGGATGTGAAGGGGCTTCACCAGGCAAAAGGAAAAGTATTGTCATTATGTCGTATGCTGTTATAAAGTCTCCCTGTTATTTTGTACGTCCATTTACGCAGACCTTCGTCATAGTCTACGCTCTGGCACAGTGGGTGTCATTCGAGAGCAGCCAACGTCATGGAGATAAATCAATGTTCTGTTCAGAGAAACATTTTACTACCAGGCTTGCAATGGCATTGATTTAGGCACCATATAGGTTTCTGCCACTGGCTGTAATTATTACTAAAACATGTTGAATACACAGTCATTTTTTTAGCCAAAGCTTTATTTTTCAGCCCTATTACTCAGAACCAAATGGGTTCTGTGAGCACAGCTCTGTTTGTTAGGAATGTTTACTTGTCGGACCAAATTACATTTGGTGGTGACAGAGGGGAAAAGGGAGGAAGGAGTCTAAGCGGGGAAGACAGCGGAAGACGCTTTTAATGCAAGTGAGGGGTTTGAGTAATCATGGTTTCCGTGGCGATAAAGTAAACAGCAAATATATGAAAAGTCATTTTGTCCTTTTGGGGGCAGAAGTTGTAAAGTGGATGTACGTGTTGCACTTATGTGTACATATTGATTTGTGTCGTCGATGCAGATGTGTGTCCGTGTGTGTGAATCGCATTTGTGCTTGTGTGTGTGGGTTTCAATGCATAAAGATGTACTGTACGATATTACATGCACACCCTCACACGGATATAAATAAGCTTGGCGGGGATGCAGGGGAAACGGAATAATAAGTTGTTTTACTGGCAGCTATTCAAAGTTACAGTCTGTCAGGGTTTTTTAATAGGCAGCGAGCAGAATCTAGAATATCACAGCAGATAGTTGGTATGCAAACTGAGTACATGCAATTAGCTGCTTCCTTTTGTTTTGTCTCTAAAGATAAAAAAAAATCAAATTGCAGATCATCTTGCACATTGCATTACTTGATTCCCTCTGCTGCTTCTTAGACAGTAACAAAGGTGTGTGTGTGCCTTTGTGGATGTGTGTGAGCATGGACAGGCTTATCTCTCCCTTATTCAAGTCATGTCACAGGCCAGACACTCCATTGTCAGGAGCAGCTTTCATCTGCGGACTTCAGATGGGCCCTGTCTTCCAGTCCAATTATACAGGGAGAAATAGGTATTGTTACACTCTGGGGATTGATTCAGAACAAAATGAGAAAGTCAAGAGAAGACTACACCCTCATCTGTAGCCTTACTTGACTTGCCTGCAGTCATACACAGTAGGAATCACATGGAGCAGCAACTTCAAGTCTCGGTGACAACCAGAACTTTACAATGCAACGCAGCCTTCCTCGGAGGTTACAGCAACTTCAAATGGTGGAGCAATGAGTGTTGCAGTGCTGAAAAAAATGTTATATTATGTAATTATCATTTAAAATGGGTAAAATAAATAAGGAAGGACTTGGAAAATCTTGCAGTGGTTGCTTACTTGTAACTTTTTGCATTTTGAATATCTGCATCTACATACTGTAATAAAAAGTGTTTTTGGCATTGCATTTCTCTTGTCGTTTTGTGAACAGTAGTTTGTTTCAGAAAGTTTGGAATGTTATTCTTCGGCTTCGTACGTTCTTTTGTCAGGACTGTGAAGGATAAAGAGGGGACACAAAAGGCTAGCCTAACGTAAGGCTCCATTTAACTCATCTGTCATTATATTAGATCTGTCGGGTGTATCCTTGACTAAACGCAAGAGTTGTGACAAGCTTCAGATGGCCGACATCCTTGTTTAGACAATCCCCTTATGTGTTGTTAACTTTATGTCACCTCGGAGCCTCCAGTGTCCTTGTGGCTGATGCTGATTTACTAATGTAGAAAAGAGTGGGCTGAGCTGCTGCCAAAAGGTAAAAACAAATATATATATATATATATATATGTATTGTTTTATGTATTATATATAACACTTTATACATACAGTATATGTTCCTTTTGTACCTAAAATATTACTTCAATATATAAATACTTTGTTGTAATATCATGGTCCGGGTGCTGGGGTCTAAGCAGAACTTATCAGGGGTGCCCAATAGGTGGCTCATGAGCTGTGTATCTGTGTACTGCAGTATTGACCATATACTCTAATAATTCAATCAATGTCCCTGAGCTACAAGCATTAACTCACTATACCCAATATATAACGTGTATGTAAAGTATGTCCAGTATACATGAGTTTATACTGTATATATTCAACGTTTTGAGTGTAGGTTGAGCCCTTTGGCAGTGTTTGTCCACATAATGCTCTGGCAGAGACACCTACGGACTTGTCCAAAGCAACCCAGCCTGGAATTTGGGGATGAGGTTGTATCAAATCCGAAGCCATCTAGTGACAGTGCACCACAGTTACAAGACACAATATAACTATAAAAAGCAGATGGTTTGGGTTAGGGCTAAGAGCACTTAGTCTGGCACAGGTCAACCTAAACTGATCATGAATCACATCGCCATCCTAATTCCAAACTACATATAATAATAAAGAATAAACAAAAGGGTAAAATATTTTGGTCACCATTAGGACTAGTAAAATCAAATCAAATCAACAACACAAAAAAAAAAAAAAAAGAAAAAGAAAAAATGGACAAAATCCATTAACTCTCATAAGTGTATGCCACCCTACAAAAATGTGTCTCCCATAACTCTGCCCTTGAGCAGAACCTCAGAAAGTTTCTTCCCATTAGAAAAGCGCTTAAATATCTATGAGTACAATCCCACACAAATACATGCAGGCACACACACATACATACTCACGCACACCGTGTGTTCCTGCCATCAATCTTCTAAATCCACCCAGGTTGTTTTGAAAGTGATAAATTCAGCCATTTAATAGCCATAATTAATAATTTATTACACACAACACACACAGATTTAGATGAGGTAGTATTTTATCAGGGTGATTATTGGAGCCTAGAAGGTCATTTACAGTGTTTTTCATTGTTTCTGCCTTTGCTTGCCTGCAGTACAGACGGGCAACACTCTACAGCTTTTCTGTGGTATTTGTGGTATTTATACAACTATAAACCCTTTTTTCGGGATAACGCGACATTTGAATCCACACTCAAAGCATCACAACTGAATCACAAAAGCCTTCAACCTCACAATTCCAAAAGTAAGGTGTATCTTGCTGTTGTAAAAAAATGACTGGTTAGTTGTAAAGTTAGGAAGTGCAACATCAGCCCTATTTGTTTGGAAATTCAATTTGCTTTTTTCAACTTTTTTTGCCATTCAGGACAAAGACTTGAGACTTAACTTGACTTGATCCCCCTGTGCGGCGAACCTTACCCTTCTGTAGACCAACAGGTGGTGTGTATTTAAGCCTTTTTCCTTTTTTGTAGTGAATTAATGTATGTGAACTAAGTTGTCACGTTGTCGCCCCCTCCCCCCTCCGCTCTGCCTTCTTCCCTATGCTTTTCTTGTGTGTTCCTGAAACACACTCTTCTGCACAAAGGCGGTAAGGTGTCACTATGGAAACAAGGAGGCGAGATTCTAAAAGCTACCTCTTGAGACGAGAGTTAAGACAACAACAAAAAAAGAGTCCACTGTGCCAGAGAGAGAAAACCAGCAATATCCCCATCATGTGCACTTCTCCCTCCTTGATCTGCTGCTGCGGAGGTGATCGTGAACCCACCCTGTCGGCCCTGTACAGTCCGTCCATGTGTTGGAGCCATTTCCTGTTTTTCAGCCATAAAGCATTTTGGATGTTTGAGTTAACATATTTTACTACATCGGTGTATAAGTAGTGAGTCTGTGATACTGTGACGTTGAATGTGTGTGGCTTTTTAATCAATTGTGGGCGTGTGTGTGCGCGCCCGTGTCTATGTAATATGCACCACACATTTCTTTAATAGGGCTAATCCATTTTAATCCCAGCTGCCACTGTTGCCTTACAATGATGAATGTAAGCCTGAATTGGTTGATACGCAGAAAAATGCCTGTGGGAAACACAGAAGAAAGCTGGGAGGTAGATGAAAGGTTCTGTGAGTGTGTGTGACGAAGAAAGTGTGTGCCTGTGTATTTATTGAGGCTGCCGTAGCAGCTGGAAGTGTTTCTCTCTCTGGTCCTTCGAAGGCTATTTTCATGAGTCTGTGGGGTCAATGCTGTCTTTAGTGATGTCTCCTTCAGCTGTAATCAGCACCATGGACAGCAACAGCCTGAGCAACGCTGGCACCACTGCAGGCATTCTTCTCAAAAGAAGAGGAAATTCTCCCTGATGCCGTTCTTTTATCGTGCTGATCTAAAAGAATTGAATGGATTAAAGAAGGCTAACCCTAACCCTGGACAATCCTGATTCATTTCTCTGACCTTTGATTTTCCACAAAAAATAAAGGTAGCGAAAAGCAGCTAGGGACCAAGATATTTCGAAAACATGTTTTATTCATTTAAATATATATGTCCAATAATTTATCATAGGAAAATCTTTAATCCTGGGGGCTGTATTATAGTAGTCCAGACATAAACTACAGATAAAGTTATACTTTATCAGCTGTGTGAATAAATCCACAGTTTAAGTGCAACTTTCTCTTATGTGGTGAGAAATTGCAGTGGAACCGAATAAAGAAGACGCCAAGAACGAGCAGAATTAAAAAGGTGAAGCAGAGGAGGAGGAGATAGGAGGAGCGTACTACTGTACAGAGTGAGCGGTAGAGTAACGGAAGCGAGAGAGAGGGAGAGAGAGAGAGACAAAGGCAGAACGAGAAGGAGAGGGTGCAGATAGTGGGAGGGGGAAAGCCTCCTGAAAGGGATGATGTCAGTCTCTGCAGCTGAGCCCTGGTCTCCGACTCGATAAGGGGGAACAGTCTCTCCTCCAGAAACAGGCTCTTCACAAAGAGGGAGACAGGAGCGCAAGGCAGGGGGGAGCCTGGTGAAGGAAATCCTGCAGGTATGTATGTCATGTTTGTGTTCATCTGGGGTCCATTCATTATTCCCCTCCGTTGTGCTGTGCCTGCCATTGTGCCGTCATTTGCCACCCGCCTGTCATTGACAAAGTAATTAAGAGGTTGTTACTATGTGCCACAGCCAACCTGAGGGTCGAGCGAGTAAATGGACACTTCTGGATCCCTGTCTGTGTTTTAAAATCCACGCTTGTGGGTTTGTATATTTTACAAGGGGTGTGTGAGAGCACAGTTCTCGGTGTAGGTGTTTTAGCCTGCACACAGACACACACACACACACACATAAAGTTTTTTGTGGAGAAGTAACTGTGTTATTTATCTTAAAATCCAATGCAAAAACCAAAGATGTGTGATCTTCAAAAGCATTGAGCGTGACAAAGATTTGGGACGTAGGCATTTAGTGAGAATAAAATCTAGTGACAGGAAAGGAAATGCTTTTTTTGTGTGTGCATGCGGACTGTAACAGGTTAAATTAATGACTGGTGAGAAAGTGATGGTCAGACAGGTGACATAGACGTGGTGAGTCATCCAGCAACAGCCACTGAAAAGTGTGTGGACCACTCTCAGGTTCGCCGAGTGCACAGGGCCCTTATGTCATTTTAAAACAGTGTTGACCTATTTTGTAGAATATATGACATATTATAGCAAAAATAGCTTCCCTGTTGTTCAGATTGTTAAAGACACGCAAGGTCACATTCAACAGGACGCAACACCGTACAACGTTGACAAGAGAGCGCTAAGAGGAATAAAACTCCCAATTTGTCTGAGAAACAAATGAACAAAAACAGGTCAGAGACACATCTTCACCAGGAGCGACCGGTTCACTCCCTCGGGCTGCTGCTGTGTCACTCAATTAGTCGCAGCATGGATTACACTTCACAAGGGCATCGATGTGAGAATGGCTATAGACATCCAGTTTCATGTCACATCAAATGTCAGGGTATTCCCTTCAGAGACCGTGATAGCCAGAGAGACAGCAGCACGGGAGGGAGGAGGAAGGGAGGATACGGTGAGGGAAGACACGGTGGAACACTCTATACAAGAGGAGAGGAAGAGTGGAGGAAGATTAGGGTAAAGAATAGTGGCCGTGAAGTAAAAGTGGGGCGCGTCAAAAGACAATGTGATGTCATGCCTGTACATGTACTAATTCAATTCTACTTTTCTTGTTACATGCTTGCTGAGAGTTCAAAAATATGATGCTCAAGTACAGGCGTGGGCAAACCTTTTGACTCACGGGGCACAATTGTCCTAAAATTGAACAGGGGGGCCGGGTCAGGAGCAGATAGATGGAGCGTTTCTGTGAATTAAGATAAATAACATGTAAAAGTCATGCATAAAGGCTAAAATGATTTTATCATCTTCTACTATCATCTTCATTTATTGGGGAAACGTGGGTATTGCAGAAGGAAAATGCAGAAGTATAATGATATTATAAATAAATTATATAATTTGGAAAAGTTTGGCGGATCAGATTAAATAACTGAACGAGCCGCACCAAGCCCCCAAACCGTAGTTTGCCCATGTCTGCTCATGTACAATAATTTGAAAAAAAAAAAATCTTGAAAAGTTTGGTTTTATTATCACAGAGTTTTGTTAAAGTGAGCTTTGACATATTTTCTGCAGACACCTGCTGTTAGGTGCATTGCTTCAGAGCAAAAGACCATACACACGCACACAAACAAACAGATGTGCACATACACACACACACACATTTAATTTGTTTGCATAGCCCCTGCAGAGTAACCCCATTTATTTCTGCAAACATCACACTAGTACTTTTGGCTCCTGCGTACAGGCTGTTCCCATTCTGGTGCTGAGGGAAATGACAAATGGTTGAACAGATAAAGGCTTCATTGGCACTAAGAGACCGTGACTTCCTGCCGAAAGGCCATTACTTACCAAAGTGTGCTTGGGTTTAATGTGCCATTCTCCCATATTATCTCCCCTCTTTGTGTTTTTTATATTTTTAGCTGCTCATTTGCTCCGTAATTCATGGTAATGTTACAACTGCCCCACTTCCTCTGACTCGGTCTATTTCAGGTGCCCGTCTTGTGGGAGTGTACTTTCCCTGTCTATTTTACTGCCTGTGCTTCCCTAAGAGAATTTTTAATGGGGTGAAAATGTTTTGATAGTTGTCAGAAAAAATAGTTTTGAAGTTGGTAGATTTGTACCTGAATAACTCAGCTTTAATGAATTATTCATGCACACTGGCAGTTTTAGAGACGTGGTCTTAGATACTAGTACTCCGACGATGCCAGTGGAAATTCATCACTCTGTCCCACCTATGTGGAAAGAGATGGATGGTCTGACGTTACTCTCTCTTGCTCCGAAATTTCCTCTCCATCCATTTATCTATTTATTTGTCTGTGACGGCTGCAGCCTGCTGTTCCCGACAGAGCTGACCTGAGTGGCTCCTCAGCCTGTGTGTGATTACCGCTGACCACGTGCCCATGTCTATCTGCCCTGAACTTCTGACCTCCCTGAGAGGCAGCCAACAGAGCACTGCATAGAAGAAGAAGAGAGCAGTGGGTGAGAGTGAGGGAAGAAAAAGATAGAGAAGACAAAGTTGGGGTAAAAGTAGAGTGGAAAACAAGACGGATGGAAGATAAACGTGTAGAAGTAAAAATAAAAAATATATATAATCAAGCCATAAAGAATAACACGTTATTGTGTAAGTTAGTTGTGTAGTTTTGCTTTGTAAATACACTCATTAAAAAAGTTAGCTAACCTTATCAGCACTACTACGTGCCTTACACTCCTACCATGGAAATGAGTTACCAGGTTACGTTAATACTGTGTATTCAACAAACTAGTCTCTGAGTAGTAGAAGTAGAGGATTACATTTTGAAAGTAAAACAAAAGCATAGAGACTCGAAATTCTTATCAAAATGCTACCTATGCTAATTATCTACTAGGGGCGCACTATGTTTGACAGAGTTGAAGAAGTTTCAGGAGCAAAAACAAAACCTCGTTTACAATGCTACAATCACTACAAAAGTGTTTGGCTTGGAAGGATCCTATGTAGCAACACCGTATGTAGCAACACCGAGCTAACACCAAGGTAAACTTTTGTCAGGCAATCAAAAAAAAAAAAAAAAAAAAAACAATTACAAAAAAATGACATTGAAATAACTCTTCGTATGAACTTTAAGCAACAGAAAATATCCCTTTTTAAGCATGTACAAAGTCACCTTTCTAAATTACAAATTTTACAATAATATTTTTTTTTACATCTTGTAACATTTTTTACTATTTATGCTTTTTAACATCATGAAATATATACACTTACGCCATTGCCTCAACAGTGTTTTCCACACGGATGGCTGTGGATGAGCTTCAAAGCATGTGAACAGCATATGTCAAGTATATCTTTCAGTGCAACCAGGAAGAGTGAGTGAACAGGAAATGACCTGGTACAGCAGGAAGTGGATTCATTAACAGAGAGACCTTCAAAATAAGACATTCTCAAACAGTTTTACTCTGCTACTATTTATGACTCACATATGAATTAATTACTTTTAAAACAATATATATATATATATATATACATATATATATATATATATCCCCATCATGTGTATATATATACATATATATGTATATATAAGTTTCTTTTTTTCCTCTGTAATCCGGACTAACTGTATTCTTATCCCCAACTGTAACCTAATCTGTAGGTGTGGATCAATCATATATACATATATATAGGTTTGTAATATTGCATAGCTGCAGGTGCAGTCATCATACCAGGAGGATTGTTCATTTAAAACAATTTTAGAAGATGTCTACAGGTAAATCTAGAAAAGAAATCATAGTTTAGTCATACACACACCCCCACTAGGGCAAAGGTGTAAGGGCCCTGCAAAAATATTTGTAGTGTGAATTGCTTCATTTTGCTTTTATTGTTCAGAAACTAATGCAGACTCACCCTATTGGTAAAATAAGGTGCTTCTGCTGGTTTGCTTTTTTTATACACCCCCATCTCTTCATACACACATTGTAAATATCTTTGTTATCTTTAAAACACATTTGGACCATTTGGCCATGTCACAGCTTGTGTGTGTCAAAAAAAAGTTTACTGTGCCATTTTTACGGCACTGAAAATAGCTGCCCCAGTGTATCACAGCGGCCGTCTCACCTTCGTGGATTCACAGCTTGCTGGTGAAACTTTTGGCACAGTGGGTAGATGGAAACAGAGGTGGTCCACGACTCAGCGACAGTTATGCTTGCTGTATTTTCAGCAGGTCTAGAAATAATGTCTCGGCAGGTGCTGCCAAACCTGAATTCCCTTAATATAATTAGCAACGTTATTTTAGCAACAGTGCTGCGGTTTTCCACTCCGTCACTAAACGCCTACCGTACTTTCTTGAGGATGTTGTTGTAATCAGCATGTGTCTTCATGGCTGCTTTTTAAATTGTAGTATTTGACATGATGGGTTTGTTAATGTTTATCATTATAGCACTTTAATTGCATAGTAAACTCACACACACATACATAATATATATATACATATACAAATATATATGTGTATGTATGTATATATTTCTGTATGTAATCTATAGAGATGTACTGTACAGATAATATGCACTTTTATTTCTGGTTTGATGTCTGGCTGCTAAAATGCTAAGCTAATACTGTTGACTGCAAAACGGAAAAACTTAAAGAATGATTGAAACATGGTTTTCGGATTAGACGTTTGAGTCCTAGTCATGAATTCTTAAGATAATGACAAATAATGAATGCCCCTGACAAACAAAATAACCCACTGTTTTCACAGGTCACACACCAATCACTGGGCCACTGTGTGAGTTTCCCCATGTGTGCCCCTGTGTGATATGGCTTTTTATTCCTATGTGACAATAAAAATGTTCACACAGGAGTAGAAGCCACTTCACACGTGGCAGCAGAGCGACAGGACTGAGTTGTGTCAGAAGTGAGAGCCCACTGTTCTCTTGGAGAGAGTGCTCGTAAACCAAGAAGCAAACATACTGTTGGATAAATGTTACTGTTTTCTGCTGAATGTTGATCTGATGACAACATGTCAAGTCAACCTTCTGCTGTGCATGCACTTGTTTTTCTGCTCAAGCACCCGTAAATGTTTAAGGTATACACTGACAGCTGCAGACGATGGGATTAAGACAGGAACACCTACAAGAAGCTAACAAACAATGACAGAACAGAGCACAGCACAGGGAGATACAATACAGATCTTTAATAACCAACTTTAAAGATGCATTCAGTAAACAACTTTACAACTTGCAAAGGCATTGCATTTCCCTTTCTATCTCGTTTTTGCACAATATTAAAATAAAACTTTGACACGAAGCATTACACCGAACAGACTACCTACAATATCATACAATGTAAGGTACGTACAGTATAAACAAGATGAAGCACCTTTGTCTTAGTCAATAAAACAGTTGTCTAGTGAGACACAGACACAGTTGACTGAGTTTCTGATTGGTGTGTGGTGTTGTCAGTGCATGGGGAAAACTCTGTATACAAGTATTTGGATTGTGATGTCACATATGCACCTGAGTTTATCCACAAAGCTTAGGAAGCTGATGAAAGCCTTCCTTACTTTCTGTTGTGTCAGTCTACAATGATGCACTTGGATGTTTTGCACAGTATCTTTAATAAAAACAATAGAGAACCATTGAAACCATTTGGATGAATGTACTGTAACTGCTACA